GATTCTGAACAAACAGAGCAGGACACATATTTGCTGCTGTTATTCACACCGACACATTGGGCTGGCCTTCCACTCTGCAGGCTGCGCAAAGCGCCGCCGAGGAGTAAGCAACCTCTGGGCTACCATACACGTACAACCCCAAATCACGACAGCTTGTATGTTTAATTCTAGCCCTTACTGTCCTGATGTGGGTCTTAAAGGTATGTTAACTTGTTTTTCGGTCCCTTTAAAGGGACAAATGTATTAAAAGAGTAAAACCTAATGATGTGAAGATAACACTAGGGAACGGGAACCTCTCATTCAGTCCTGGCTCCAGGAGATTCCTTTCGTGACTCTGGGCGAGTCACTACACACCTCATCCTTCATTTCCTTCTTCCAGAAAAGGCAAATAGCACTTGCTATAAGAACATGTTTGCAGATGCAAAGTGCTTACTATGCTGTACATAGTACTAAAAACTACTCTCAGACAGACTGAATTCCTGAACCAATTGTTTTCATTGTAGTAGCTATGATTTCTAGGTCAACCAGAACACAGAGGTACGACTGAACAGGACAGGAATTCCAGGAAGAGGTCCAGCTCCTTTTTATTAACTTTTGTTCCCAAATTAAAGGACAGAATTTGCAATTAACAAGTTGCCCATCACTGTTTGTTTAAAATACAGGAATCATCGAATTAGCGGACTGTGAGGAAGGACATGAGTCCTAGATGACATGCCAAGGTCTTCAAAAAGGCTAAACAGTTTGTTTGCTATATACAGGTCATCAAACCTGGAAGATGTGAATCCAAAGTTTGCCCTTAGCCAAGATCCTCCCTTAGCAGCAGCAAGTTATATTTGCACCACTTGATCAAGTATAACTTGGAGGAAAGGGTTTTGTTTCATCACTTCTACGTAAAGACTTTGCATATATATGTGCATGCATGTCTGTGTGTATATGTATGTACCTACACACGTACGAGTAATTTACAGAGCAAAAACTATGAGATTAGGTATGCAACCCAAGAATTTTTCCCCCTCACCTATTTGTATATTTGCATAGTTAAATCATATCAAGGCATCAATACTGCAGTCACATTTTTCACTCTTCTGCGGTGCAGCCAACTTTTCTTGTCACTCCCTACACAATTCTCTGTCTTGGACCAAACAGCACCAGTGTTTTAAAAATGAAACAAAACAATGGAAACCCTGCATTGTTGGTGAAATGCCTATCCCACGTGATGGAATACACATACAAATAGGTGGTAGCTTTTAAACTCCATCTCAACGAGCCGTAATCTGGCAAGCAGAGAAACACGAGCAATACAATCACAACCTAACATTCATGGGTTCAACACTTAAGTTACAACTAACACAAATCTCTATTATCCTCGCATTTGAGAAATTCACCAGGCACAGAAACAGGCACGTATCTTCAACTTTCCTTTTCCAAGTAGGAAAACCCACGGGAAAAGGAGATAAACTGTATTTCATATTTATAAGAAAGCTAGCATGTTACCCACAACATTTTTTTTTCTCGTCAAAATTATGCCACCCATCATCCCCTTCTCCTATTGCACATTCTCTTTGTGAAGAACAACATTTACAGTACAAGGCTGAAACCAACATTGCATATTGTAAGTCAGCAGTTGAAGGTGTACCATGTAGACAGTAACTGAAACAAGACCCCTTTAATTAGATCAGAGAAGTAATGCAGACATGGTCATGCATCATAATCGCAGGTTGGTCTTTAGACACCCAAATAGTTTCATCCTGTTTAGAATTCAAGACTTTCTGGGCAACAGATGCACTCACCCTGTGCTGAGGAGTGTACAAAAAGGGCAACATCCAGATTGTCACACACTGGAATCTCCCTAGAGAAAGCTGGAAACGGAAGGGACTTGTACATAACTTGGAGTGTCATCGTTAAGAAAGAATACCAGCAAGAGACTTCAGTTGTGCACTGCTAGGAGTTACTAAGCAGAGGGAAAAAAGGTTCCGTTGCAGAAACTCTGTTCAAAGTAATACAAATACTCTGGGACCCCCCTGCAACAATGGCACACCACAGGAGTTAGCTGGGATTCAAGAGTATATGCGGGGGCAGACTGTTGCCCCATGAATCACTTTCAACATAGAGTCCCGAGAAAACTTTGGATATCTGGGTCAGGAACATTTAGAAAAAAGGATAAAGGGCATTTCAATGATGAGAGAAAAAGTTAGATAATTTAAAGTGTTGAGTAAAGCACCAGGTGTCTTTTCCTTTCAATTTAGAGAATATACAGTGGCCTTGTTTTCACAAAATGCTACATACTCCTTGCTGGAAAGCAGAGGAAACCGATTTCTATGTACACAGTAAGAACTCTACCGAGATGGCCTGTGAGTTCTGCGGAGAAAGGAGTGTTACAGTCAAGGCTTCAGGTATTCCACAGCAGGCGGTGTTTACGTTTGTGTAGCAAGATCCTGGATTTCACAGTACGCAGGGTTGGCAAACTGGAAATTCTCTGGCAGCTTCATGTAGTTTTAAAAAATAAGTGCAGTAGGCCTCCATTTTATTAACTGTGATAAAAAGCATATATGCAAAAATATTTTTATATCGATAGCACATTACTGCATTATAAAAGCTGCCCAAGTGAAGCTGAAGATTCTGGCAGCTGGTGCTTTTGGCACTTGGGAGATGTGGAAAGCAGCATAGAGATCTGTGAAATACAACAGTGACTGATGTTTCTGCTACAGTGATCGGCATTAATATAGTTAGCAGTGTTCATATTTAAACTTCTCTATGAAGTTTCTGAGTCAATATCCCACTAAGAGGAGATATTCAGATCTCTTAAAGCTACTGGTTTAGGCTGTGTGCAGACTCAGGAAGACTTCCCTACTAGTTTACACTTTTCGCATGTTTCAAAGTCCTCTTTCAATCACAAAGGCTGGAAACACTTTTTTCCTCCTCTTTTAAAGAGCCTGGATTTAGAAGCGCAATTCTGTCACGAGAGTTGGAAACTGTAGTCACAAATCTGCAGAATATGCTGGGCCCTGCTTATACTAGAAATCTCCAAGTCCCAGATTGAAACAGGATATAAACTGTTTTGAGATGGCCAAACGGTTTCGTTTAAGTTTACAAGACATGCATTAGCAATGGGAGGAGAGTCCTTTGGACATTTCCACTTGGGAATCCTGTTTTCAGTAAAATTCTGTGATGCACAAACACAAAAGCTCAGCTGCCTACATTCACAATTATTAAAATGACACAAGTGGAGCGAACCTTCGCCCTGAAGCGTAAGTGATGGGTTTGCTTATGCAGCCTGCATAAAACTGCAAGTGCCATGTAATTATATCTAGAGATATAAATACGGGTATATCTATAGATATTTATCTCTTGTGCAGAACGTCCTCCTTCCGTGCCAGAAATTAAATGCTAGCACGTGCCTCCATATTTGAGCTTGCACCTGTTGACAGCTACGTACCATAAAGGGAGTACAGTACCTGGACAATGGAAGGCAAGAAAAGGAAGACAAGTTGCTGCTGACGGTCGAGACAGTCAGCAGCAGGCAGTATTCTAGCAGGTGCCTGGAAAACCCATGAAGACCACTTAGCATGCATTGTATATTCTTAAATACTTCTTGCAGGCACTGTGTGTGAAGGCACAGCCAAAAAAGACAGCGGCAAAGACAAGCTGAAATACAAAGGCATGAATTCAACGGCACCTTAGACAAAAAATGTGACTATGCCTCGAAAAGCAGAAAACCAATACAACCTGACGTTAAAGGCTGAGATGCAACGTTTTCTTTCAAGCCCACAAAGGCTAAAAAACACAGCGGTGCAAGTCCGCTCTGCCTAAGCGGTTCTTGGATTTTTAAAAAGCACCACAGTCAGGCTACGTCTCTAGACTTGCTTGTCACAGGCGATTAAATAGAAGCAGATGAACACAGCAGGTTGCAATCAGCATGTTGCAGGGCTAGCAAATGCTTTCCACTACAGTTCAGGCTGTTATAAGAAAGAAGCCCGTGCATTCCCCATTAGGATGCTTGTCTACTATGAAAAGCTGTCATGAGCATATACATTCACAGCCCCACAGAGTTCTCGGGTGGGTCCGTTTCAAGTGATGCCACCGTACAACCACAGGCATTAGAGGAAAAATGTCGCCTGCCTTCACAGTGGCCATGGAGACTGTCTAGTCCAAGCTCCATAGGAGCACTGAGCATAACGTTTTGGCACCTGAATAAGATGGATTCCACCATGGCCAAGTCATAGAAGCTCCAGAAGCCAAAGAAACTTCTATTTTGTACATTGCAAGGTACCTAAGGGCTCTGAAGACAAGGCTAAACATTATGCCTGAAGTCCAATTAAACTACCATTTCAGATATCAGAATTAATCTGAATAAAAAGCTATGGTTTATAAGCAGCACAGCACATCTAAGGCACATGTATGCATGCAAGCTACCATCACTGTATTAAGACATTGCTGATTTGTCCTTAAGAAGCAATGGCTGCTAGTACAGAACAAACATATAGGCTTTTTTCAGCACTAATCCTCCTCCCCAATACTGAAAATACTATATACTGCTGACAGCATAATGTGCAACATATATAGCTTGATTGGAAAGCATGGGGCAGAACTTTAAAAAATGTACAGGATTCCGTTTAGAACTCCAAAGTTCAACAAATGCCCTATTTTAGGGTGAAAACAATTATAAATCTGATAATGATGCACAGCATCCATGAGTGATTTTTCCTTAATTTTGAAATAGTGTCATTAACTACGACATATATTGTAGGTTTACATTTCTAAAGAGAAATAACAGAATTGAATAGTTTTTTTCCTATCACAAGTGATAACCAGTGTTTGATATCTTCTATTTTTCTTCCAAGAAATATCAGTCTATCAACAGTTTTAAAATAAAATGTTTTCTGTAACAATAGAACTTTAAATAAAAATATGATTTTGATTCAGATACTTTTGAGAAGACATGGATACTTTTCCAAGATCTTCTGACAAAGTAATTATTAAAACAGAGACCAGATGAGGCCTTAAAAAGACAATATACTATATTTCAGACAAGATTGCACCTCAGTTTTTCAAATAATATCATAATTGCAACATTACTTCATCATTTCTTCTTTTAACATGCTGACAATTTCCAGCTAGCCCACGTGTGAAGGGTTTTTTTTTTTGTATTCTAGCCTAAAGAAATAAAAGTCAGTAATTTATTCAGCACATACTGTATATGTCTTTTCACCTCCAATTGTCTAGATCATTAATAAGTTAAAAAAAAAAATCCTCTCTGACCATAATCATTATCCTCATGAGGGATAAGTGATTCTTCAGAGCTTAAGTGTTGCTAGTTCTATTAAAAAATATACCATGGTATGATTTCTTAATGTGTTGCTACTTTCGCAATTGGACCCTATGCAGTTATGCCTTCAAACTCTTCCATCTGTTCCACAAGGTGGTTCTGTGAGCTTTAGGACCTCTGATTGAAGACAAACTGATATAAAACCCCCAAATGGAGTTGTCTTCTGTTTAATCCACCTCCCCCATTCTATGTCAGGGGTCTGGTAGATCCGATGTATCCACTATGACTTTAATAAAAATAGTATCATCTTTAATATACGTTCCATTCTCTAGAACAGTTTGAGCCACGAAGACTGGGCAGCCAGATGCAATGTTCATTTCTCCAGTTGGCTTCTTGAAACTGCTGCTGTTTGGATCTGGCTTGAAAGCATCTCCTAAGTGGCGTCGAGACGGTCCCTGATCCATTAGCATGAGAGTCACTTTCTGTTTGAAAGGCCAAGGAAGCAACGCATCATATTCTCCACGCATTATGACAAAAAACAGCGACAAGTGCGTCCCCTTTCCCATGCCATCTCCGTTAAGGTAGACTCTGGCACACATCTTGTAGCCAAAGTATCCAGTATAAAAGGGTTGGCTGTACAAGGACAGAGTCTTCCCCATGACTGCCTCTTGCTTCCGACGTTTATAATCTCGAATTTTCCAAATTAATACTCCGTTGTAACTGGCAGTTTCTAAAACTTGGAATCGGAGGTCCATGTCAGCCAGCCGAATATCATGAACACTCAGCATCTGATCATGTCTGCTCAGCTGTGTCTCTAGCAGGCCTGTTAGAAAATTGAAAGGATGAGGGTGAGAAAAATGTTTTTTTCCAAAGACTGTAAAAATCTATTGCCAGTGCTGCTACTGTGTACAAAAACATTTTCCTCCCCAAGAAACAAAGTGCATTCAGCCACTGATGAAGCAATTTCCACAGACAAGTGGCACTAGTTTGCCAGCTAGCACCTAGGCTAACTGGGATTTTTACAAACATGGGTGTTAACCACACATGCAGTAAAAGTCGAATATTCAAATGATCTAACAAATTTTGTCTGGTCACTAAGCAATGTAACTACAGAGGCTTCCATTTTTTGAGAGGAGATATAGATTGCTGTTAGCAGTGAAGACCTTGGTAGTGGTCACACAGCCTACATAATCCCTCAAATTCAGAGGCACCGCTGATCACTCAAAACATTCTTCTCAGACACTACCTGCCTCACAAGTGTAGTGCTGTTACCATGTCTAAAGTTCATCATAGAAGAACACAAAATTCAAGCTTAGCTCTGCATTATATGGTCACTTAACTTAGTTTGGAGGGAGGGCTGCTTTTATTGTCCCCTTTCTCTCATAAGAAAATACTACTTTCTGTCTTTGCACACTGGCAAAATTGGCCAACATATAATACTGAGAAGCAGATGAAGTCATGAGTCAGGTTTGTTTTACACAGACTATTTAAATGTTAAGGTCTTTGTCCCAATCATTTAAACACTTACGTATAATCTACACTATCTTGCTAAACTCCAGTTTTCACTTTATTCAGCGAGAATGACAATAACCTTATTCTCACAGTTTTCTTTGGATCAAATATACCTCTGCAACAGATATCAGGACAGGTGGTTTCAGGTGGATAACCATACTGTTGATCCATTCACGGGGGAGAAGAGTAATAAAAGAAGACTTGAGAATATACCAAGACTATATTTAAAGAAGCTGCTGAAAGCTATTAGCTGTCAAAGATCAATTGAGAAACTATAATGAACTAACATTGTAATCAAGGCAAGTGTCAAGAAAACAAAATAAAAGACAAGAATCAAGCCTAAGAAACAGCATGGAAGCAATGCCATATCATGAACAAAGGGATTATGCAGTTTCCTATTCAAAAATCAGCAGAATCAGCATTATTGATGCTTCAACGTAAAAATCACAATGGGAGTGCCATTCAAAGGACACCATTTTTCTCTCGATAGCACTGCTGAGTCCTTCATTCCATTGTGCTTACACTTACTTGTATTTCGAGCTCCTTGCCCTGCAGTTTTATCAACACTTTCCAGCTCAGTCACTCTGTTCTGGAGGGATTCTACACTGCTCTTCATGCTGTCAGCCTCCTCCCAGTTCTGTCGGAAGGGACGGATTTCTTTGTCCAGTTCTTTCAGTTTCTCTGCTTGACTGTCTATCACTCGCTTTATAAAACAGTAAGTTACGAGTTAAAATAACAAGACGACATTAATTTATGCAAATTAAACACAGATTATATATCAATAATAAGATGCATTTTAGAGGAATAGCCCAAATACTTATAAAACACAAAAATCTTTAGTGCTGCATAGGTATTAATATTAGAGCACTATCAGAATTATCAAAACAATTATTAAAAAAAAATTGTTAGTATGCTTTTATCTAAATTAAAAAAAAAAACAACAACAAAACCTTCCAATGCAAAAACAACATTCTGAATGGTCGTATACTGATACTATGGGCTGATATTTGTAGGGTTTTGTGTCAAGAGTACTTAAGCAACAACATATGGGCACAACATCTTACCATGGTGTGAATCAAGTGGCTGCTCATGTGCATGCGTTTATCACTGGGTAACAGCAGAATAACTTACCCTTCCAGAAAAACATCAGTACCCTTGCACACATGGAGCAGGAGTACATATATGTGCAGATACAGTGGCATTAGCAAGCTCCAAGCTCACATAAATCATTTACCAAAGCCCAAGTTATTATGTGCCCATAACCACAGCAGAAGCCCTCAAGAGCGTAAGCAAAACTACCACTTCTGATCCCTTAAGCACTTTTAGGATTCTGACCCTTACTTCCTAAATTGAATTAAGCCATGCGTCCTGAAGGTGCTTGCTGGTTGAGTCGTTTTTGAGAAAACGAAAGAAAAAAAAAAAAAAGTTGATTTTGGAAAGGTATGGAATATAATACTCCAGGAAAAAATATATAGAAAAGGCTGGTTTCTCTGAAAGAGGGACATTGCAAGCACCGCAGCATATTATAAATGTAAAGGAGAATATATTTCCCAGTCTACCTCAAATCTGATGCAAGAAATATATAGCACTTCATGTTATCACAGCTAATTTGGATTAGCAGGAATTTTAGCCAGAACCCCATGACCGGTTGTGAAGTTCAAATGTTAACACAAATATTTGAGACAAGAAACTACTTTTGCTACCACCTACAGTTAAATTCCAAATCTAACTTCATAGTTTATCACTGTATAGTGCCAACATGTGTAAAAATGATTTTTCACTTCTTAAAAAAAGTAGCAGTTGAGTACAAAACAAGAAAATAAAGTTACTTTGCATTTGCCTTCTGGTTAGCCATGGGAAAACCCTTCTGCCTCATGCAACCTTCATTTCCCCTTTTAGGCATTTGCTTTTAATCATGTGGTTTCAGTTATACTGAAAGTCTGTAATGATTAATTGAAGGCTGTCAATTTGATAAGCCAGCTAGCAAAATCATGTTCTAGGAGTGTTTTATTTTGTTGTGTCTCAAAACCACTGAGCAATCTAACATATTTCAAGATTAACTATTTATTTCTATGTTGGTGTTTTTAACAAAGTTTATATATCTCGCTTGCAAAATTACAACTTTGTGAAGGAAAGCTGTGTACTGAATCATAAATACAGGGATATGGTCCCATTAAATAGATTAAGCAACTTGCCTGGACATACTAATCATCAGCTACCAACACAGTCACACCCTCTCACTTGGACTAATGGTAATCAGGTAACAAAATAGGAGAGGGCTGTTAGCTATACATATAAAAAGAAACACACCATGAATGGCCTGAATGAATGTTATAAGAGCAGAGCCACAAGATTAGGCCACTAGTTCATGGTTAACATGCAAAAGTAAACCTCAAGATGTGCCTGTGTCTCATCTTTTTCCTCTACTCGCACAAAACATGAAGTTTCCAAGGCAAGAACAATTAACATGGGCATGGGTTTGTACAGTGCCTCACACCAAGATGCTTTGATTTCCAATTGGGACTTCTTGGCACTAACACAGTATCAAGCAAAATGAATAAATACATTTTTAGATGAACTGGGAAAGTAGTAAAGATGCAGAAGAATTGGAAGCTATTCTTCTTTTGGGAGAAGTTTACTAAAAGTTGTTACTGGGGACCAATTTCTGTCCATCAACTCGTGCAACATTCTACCTTTGTACATGCACTACCAATTCTGGTTTTTAGCTGCTTCTACTACATGTCAGCAAACATGTAGTATTTTATCTCCTGTATCTCTTCATGAGAATTCAAGAGATACAGAATAATCAGTAATAGACTTGTATTCTGTTTTTAAAAAGCAGTGGGAACTCTATCTTTTTACCCTACAGGGAGTCAACCTCACTCATGCTGGGAGATACTGATGTACTAAATCTGAATTTAATGCAGCAGTGAAGAATTTCACTCTCTCTAATTATTCCATTAGAAAGCACACAGATGTCTCACACTGTACTCATAAATTTTCAAGTAGATATCAATTTTCTGCATGCACTTTTTATTCCAGCAACTGACCTCTCCAGATCATTAATCCAGAGTTACATGCCTGGCAAATCACTGAGGGCTCTTCTTCACGTTGATTTTCATCTAGGCTTTGTTTGGTATTTCTAATAAACAATTTCCAGAACTTTAGCACTACTATTACTAAAAGAATTTAGAAAATGTCACAAGGAACTGAAGAAAGTTATCTTTGCAGTTCTCTCAGATGCCCTTAATGGACCTTTCCATTACAACTGACAGAGCAAAACTGAAACGCTAAAGAACACACCAGAAAAGGAACCAAAGGTACTACTTGACTAGGAAAACAGATCATACATCCTCCTCCATTGAAGGCACGTATTACCAATCAAATAATTTTGTATTCATAAGGCCACTGTTTCTTTTGTCTTTAAGTACCTCATATTCACACTCAGCTTAAGACTTGGCTTACTAATATGCTTCCATATACTCTTAAGAAAGACTGGATACTGGATGTGAAATTTCCTTTCCGCAAGATAGCAGTCGAAAAAGTATCACATACTTTCTTGGTAAAAACTTCCCCTAGAGACCAGTATATAGAAAACATCAAACTATCTCAAGGTTGAGGTTCCTGCCAACACCCAGACACCTTTGATGCATTTACACTAGTTGTGTTAAATGCCTCGCAGTGCAGATGGTGCCAGTTGTGCTCAGTGAAACAGCTGTGCCAAGCCAAAGAAGGTTACATGACAGCTAATACCGAAACTGTTCTAGAAATTACTAGCATGCAGAGGACTTGAGGGACTAAGCAAATACTGCTTGTCCAGACCTGAATTGGCTAGTTCCACATCAGAAATATCTGTGGCTCTTGTATAGCCACAGCTGCTCAACGCAAACCAGAAAAAGAATGGCTCACAACAGGTAACTAATTCCTTCAACTCCTAGTAGGCAACAGAAGGAGGCTAATCATATTGTCCAGGGAAAAACAAATCGAGGTGTGTTTCCAGGATGCCGTTAGCAACCTGACTGAACCAGGAAGTTCCAATAAGTGGAAGGAATCAAGTTGAAATAGCTGTAAAACAGAGTTTGGCTTAAAATAAGTTAACTAAAATAACTGGCGAGAAGAAGTAAAGAGGAGGAGAAGGGAAAAAAAAAATAAAAAGAGCAAAACTCATTCTCTGCAGTACTTACTACCACCAAAAAGCCACCTGTTGGAATCTGCTGACCATACTGTTTTTCCTAAACATAAACCATTTGAAAATTGATTTTGCTAACACTTACAGTTTGAGGAAATCAAATTTACTGCAGTCTGTCATCAAGACAATCATGAAATACTCTGCTCTAGGTTTCTTTCATTTCCCCTCTCATCACTGGTTATTGAGACAGCATGTGTAAAAACCCCAGGCTTACAAATTAACTTACCTCCTGGTAGATTCAATCAGCAATATCAATACATACAAGGATTAGCTTCCCAATGTCAGAATGCAATATTATAAGCATGCAGCCATATTTCATACTATCATCAAACCAAATAACAATGACTAAAGCAGGCTAAACTGGTTACTATGCAGGCAGATCTTGGAAAGAAGTAAGCGCTATAAGGAGAAGTGTTGCTGTTGCCAAACTTTAAGGTTTTCTTATAAACAAACATCAAGGGTCTCAAGACTCTGAGCTTTTGAACGTTCTATTCTTTGAATTTTAGCCGTACTGTAGTTTGGATACTTATATCTTTCTTGAGTATCAACATTGGCAGTTTAATACATGAAGTGAATAGTAAGTGAAAAAGATAATTTTATTTACATTCCTTTAAGCTGAACGCTAAAGCAGGTATCTGATATTGTAGCAGCAGACATACTAAAATAACGTGTAAACAATACCTTCACAAGAGCTTGCTAAGTATGTCCTGAGGTTTCCCTAATTGTGGTCAGTATCACACAAGCTAACACAGATTCCCAGCATCCACATTCCAGGTCAGCTCTGAATGCAAAGCAACGAATTTCAGCTCAGGCTAAGCACCATGCTAGCGCATCCACAAGATTTCTAGTTTGACACTGGCTTGCTGCCAGCTGATTCAGACCAAGAATAAGAAACTCAGACCTACTGGCAAAGGAATCATTAGATAAATTTTCCTCAGAAGGACAACAGAAACATGGATTTTAAAAAGTACATTAAAATGCATTGTACTATGTTTAGATTAATTCCACACCAGATTGATCTCACTCATGATTAATATTTTTAAAAATACCAGCAAGTAAAAAAGAAATATACAGTATACATATGACAGTTTTAAGGTGCTAATCTTGTTCTCCAGTTTGACGGTAGTTCCTCAAGCAGTTATTTTTTGCAGAGAAGAAAAAAATAAATATGATTATTCTTCAGATAAGATTTGCAATTTTGTTTTCAATCTTTTCCCTTTTTAAACAGTTTTTTTAACATAGGCTAGGAAACTGCAGTGTTTTAGTGAGTATCTTACTCCAACAAAACAGCTACTGACCAGAAGAAGAAAAAAAAAAAAAAATAGCTTTATAATAAGGTAAAGTCTCCCCGCCCTTTTGAATTAGAACACCTCACTTCACAAGTGTAAAGGCACAGAACAGAAGCTACTACCATTTCTGCTTTAATGGGGAGATTCTAAATTTCTTACCTGTAAATGAAGTATTTTAGATTCATTATTCCGCAGCATTTCCTTCTGTCTTTCAATTTCTATTTCAAAGCTACAAATCTGATTATGTAAAGTTTGTATACTCTTGTTCTTTTCCAAACTTTCATTCTGGAGCAAGGCCACCTGGAAAAAATTCTACAATTACTCCTGCCAAAGTTTATTAAAAATAGGTATAACTTTGTTAGTTTTAAACTATCTTACACACACGAAAGGGATGAGATCCTACTAAAATCTCTCTCCATGTCTTGCAAAATAAATAAACACCAACCTTCTGACAGCTACTTTTGCACTTCCACAGCATGGTACTGGTACAACTTTGGCTAATGAAAGTGCAGATGGGATAAACAAACAGCAAAAGAACTTGTGTCTAAGCAAATCTTTTCTTTATTCAGTTTGTTATTTAATGGCTTGGGTTCCTGGTTTCCCCTAACTGACTTGGGAGTTGCTTGGAGTTTGGAAGAAACAACCTATTTAGCTCTAGTTCAGAGTTTCAAGCTCTAGCCCTGCACAGAAGGGATACCAGAGAAAAGCCGAGCAGCTGAAAAGCTAGTTGGGAAAGGGAAACATTAATCTTCCCCACCTACTCCAATCTATCCTGACTATAGCAAATTTAAACAAAATCATCATCTGCATGGGATTGGCTTGGCTTCACAAAATGTGATGGTGATGAAAACTCCTGAAATGAGTGAATACGGAAGGGATCCATGCATGAAAAGGAAAATCCAATGGTGCTTGCCTAAAGAAATGCAGGCTGCGGATTATATTCTCTCTCTGTATTGACATTTTATGAATTCATTCATTAGTGACTCATTCTGATTTTAAAACATGAGCCTTGTTAGAAGAATATCATATATTATATCTCCTTGGGGATCAAAGTAATACAATTAATGTTCTCTGTCACACTATTTTTTAGATTTTTTTTTCCCCAGGCAAGATTATTTAGTGGCAAAAACACAGAAAAAAAACTTGACACAAAATGACATTTGGACATGCCCTGACTAGATAGATCTTTATATGGATAAGAAGCAGCACCATTTTTGACCCACGGAAATCTTTTGATAAACATTCCACATTAAGACCAGTTACTTGGATGCTTCATGTTCCCAAAAAAATCAACACCACCACCCCCAATACAGATGCTAGTTTGAGGTCAAGCCATTTTTACCTCTGATGTGGATACCACTACAGAATTCCACCACCTTAACTACCCTCTAATCAGACATAGTCGAATCATTTATGTCACTGCATTCCTAGACTCAGGACTCTAGCCTCTTCAAAAATGTAAATAATTTCAATCTCTACACTAGCCTAAACTAGACAAAAGACCGCCAAAGTCCGCAGGCATTCAGCATGTTCATTGGACAGGGGCCCAAAAATACATAGAGATACCACAATATGTGTACATATCTACTTTTCAGTATAGCACAGCATGTGTGCATATACACACGTATATTAGTTCTGCATTTTATATATGAAAAACTGACAGAAGAGGCTCAACAGAAATGAGACAAAGCTAATTTTGTCAGTGCAGAGAGAGAAACAATCTCAAGGCTAAAGGAATACATAACTAGGTGCTAGAGAAAATTTTCAAGAACAAGTTTAAATTTAAATTCGTATCCCTGCCTCCCACATATTTCAGATCTGCTGCGTAGCCACTTTAATTTTTTGTTTCCTCCTTTTCCTTAATGAATTAGAGTACTTTAGTTAATTGTGATCTTTACATTCCCTTTTTCTCACTGTTTCCTCCGCAGGCCTCCCAATCATAAGGCAGTTACACTCTGTGTCACTAGCATTACATTTCCATTTTTGTACAAGTTATAATACGTGGACTTGTCTTGTACTGAGATTTTCCACACAGTTCTACAGAACACAAGAAAAAAAGAATTATGTCCTGCAGCCCTTAATCATACGGAAGTGACATTGCTAACTCAGTAACTGTAGTTTGGTGGTAGCAGTGAATAAGAAATCTTTAGCATTAAATATAAGTTTCCTAATTGCATTTGGCATAAGTCTTTGGAACTTGAGTTAAAAAACAGGTTAGAGGAAACACAGCGTCTATTTACAAACTGCTTCAATGAGCTTTCTATACTCCCCTGTCATATTTGAAATATTTGAAATATTGCCAGGATAAAGGATGCTCTTATTCAACAGTTTTTCAAATTAAGCTATTGCTTATTATTGCTTACTAAAAAAGAATGGAAGAAACACTCTTATACCACAAAGAACTGGATTAAAACAGACAGGTCCCATATTTAAGTCACATATTAAAAAAGAATAATTAGTTGATACCAGATTTATTTAAGAATGTGATGAAGCCACAAAATGACATTCAAGTCATTATTTCCAACATCACAAAACCCATGGGAGTTCAGTCTGCAAGTCTGTCCCATCACAGAGTGAACAAATCACCCAATTTTAATTCGCCCCACAAAGGTTTGATTCAAGATTTTACATCTGACCTTCTCTTACTACTCTCTGCCAACAGCACCATTCAAATACCAAACTCATAACTTGGCACAAGCTTTGCAGTTTTGAAGACTTGCAGTTTGCATACTGAACCACAAGCACAGTTAAAGAACGTGGTGACTGGGAGAAGGCAACTTCTCCTTTCCCCTCCATACATATCACAGTGAGTACCCCTAATGAAATCTCGACCCCACAGAAAGCAATGACAAGGACTGCACTGACTTCAGCAGGGCCAAGGTTTCTGTGATAGTCATCAGCTAGGTTAACTTTGCACTGTTGTTCTTCAGTGCATCAATTAGTTCTTTTTTTCTCAAAGAAGAGAACAGCAGTGAAGCTACAAATCATTTTGTTACCCTTCTCTAGAATAAAGTCACTGACATATGATACGTGGTTAGCTATTCTGGTAACTTGGCACGGTCTTGGGATTTCCAGTGATTCAACTCTTTATTATGAATAGGAAGAAGTCTGCAAAGCAGGAAGTGAAAAGGAAAAAAAAAAAAAAAAAAAGAAATGCGGGACATACAATGATAAGCAGTCCTAAATGAAAGTTAAAACCAAAACTGAACAACAACAACAACCACCACCACCAAAAAAGTGTATATGTATATTCTCTCAGCTCTGCAAGAGACAAATATAGAACTGCTGGGCATTTTTAAAATGATAAAGCACCTCTCAGGACACTGACAAAAGGCAGAACATGATCTATTCTGGAAGTCACAGGGAACATGTTTTTTTCCTATGATGCAAAATAAATTGTGCAGTTTTAATCAGACTAATGAAAAAAGAACTAAGAATATGAATTTGTATCTGTTAAAAATGAAAAATGTACAGTTCCGACATTAACAAAGAGATTCACGTGCAAAAGCAAACTTAAGTATTGTTACTGATCAAACTAAAGACTTACAGATGTAGTAAAAATTCTATCTAAAAAAACCTACACTAGAGCTCTCCCAGGTTCAACAGTTTCTTTACAGGGCTTCAAGTTCAAAAACAAGCAGTCCAGGGACAAATGTTCTGGGGTTTCCTGTGGCTGCAGGACCTTGCTGGAAACTCATGCGTGAAAGATCACTGTAGGCCAAAAAGGGAATATGCTTTATAGACAGAGTTCGCTAAACTCGAGCTAGCGGTCTGCTGTGAGATGACAGAATTCACAAGCCACACATATCTTAACTGCCACTAAGCCTTACACTGGAATTGTTACTCTTATTTAACTCATTCTAGAAAAATCAGAAGGGGCTCCTGACTCTTCTGCCTGCATTTGTAGAACAGTTTAGTAATTCTGAGATTCCCCCCCCCCACCCCATAAAACAGAAGCATTCTTCTAATGGCTATGTAAAACTTTCAAAAAATATTTAAGAAAACAGCGATTTGTTCTGAAGTTTTGTATTTTTAAATCAAAGCCTTAAATTTTATTTGCAGAACAGATGGTTAAGTCATTCAAATGATTCACAACATCGTAGCTCATACTGATACAATTTCCAGCATCTCCCAAATCCCAAACAATCTAAAACCAGGAGCTCTCAAGGAAGCACTGCAACATGAACTTCACTCCGGTCTAGCACGAAACCAGAAATCATCATGCCCATGAGTTACAATAGGCTTAATTTAATTAACCTTTGCAGGTCATTAAGTTTGGAGAGCAAGAACAAAAATAAATAACTGGTTTATTACATGGTATTTCTAATAGTGTTATCTCTGGAAAAATACTGAAGTAGCAAAAATAGAGCTCATAGTGCTGCCCCAGCTTTCTGAACCCTCCCTTCTGTAAGAAGGCAGCTCAGAAAGGAAATTTAATACTGGACTGTTTATCTACGTGAAGAAAGTGTTTTAATTAAGTTACCAACGAGGAAAATTGTATATGAAGTTGCGAAGCCAAGTTTCTCACAGCATTTTATTATAACAAAGGTACCAGATACGCTAAATGGCTTGGTTGCTTTTGGAGCCTACTAGTGCTTTAGCTGTATGGTTGAACAGCTGTTAAAAAAAAAAAAAAAAAAAAAAAAAAGGTGCCTTTTCCAGTACTTTTATATGATTTAAAGAAATCAATGAAAATTAGAAGTGAGTAGAAGATATACCTTATTTTCTAGAGCATTGCTCCACTCTTTCAATAAGTTAACATGCTGAACTGCTGAGCTGGCTTCATGTGCTTTAATTTGTTGGTTTGTTCCCTGTGACAACAAAGAATTTATACATTTTAGCCAATTCCACTTCTTTTAAACCTACAAAGAAAGATTATATCAAGACATTGAACCAACACTACATATTTTGGTTCACGGATGCATGTTGCAGAACTGTAGAGAGAAGGGAAACCTACGTGGGAATTTACAGAAGTCAGGAATACATTTAATATAGCAAGTGTTTCATACAACTGCCATATATATCCATCCAGTGTGCTTTATACGTCAGAAACAATAAAGATGAACAAGATTTACAAATTGAGTTGTATTTTAGAGTCTTCTGTGTAGCTTTACACTAAATAAAGCACAATAAAACTCTTGAGTCATACAAAACCTACAATGTCCAATTCCCCAAACCGTAATTTAAAACTTCTTGTTGTATTTCATGAACAGCTTCATAAGCGCTAAATTTTCCCTCAGTTGAGTATTAAAGACAAATATTTAAGATAAATTTATCATCGCTGGAAACTGCCAGCTCTATAAACTACTTTGCAAGACACAATGCCTAGTTTGTCATCCTAAGATGCTACCATGATTGCTCTGTGACATTCAGATACGCTGCCTCTGCACAACCTATAAATGCTGTTACAAATAACCACTATATAAAAAGTTTACAGAACACACATACATCATATACAGAGTACATAAGATGCAGACCATATTACTTACTTTATTTGTATTGTGTTGCATTACACCTACTTCAGTAAGTGTTTTGCAATGTAGAGTACATTAGCTTTGATGGTAGATATGCTGCAAAGCAACTGAAAGGGCTTCAATGATCCTCAAGGTATGTACTCTATATAAAATACTAAAAATATATATGTGGATATATGTACATATATGCACACATATACATACATAAAATGAATGGCAATACATACGACATAACAGTGGGCAGGGCTACAGCATCGATCTGTTCTATCACTAAGAGCATTACAGCTAACACTTAAAGTGATGAATGCTCATTATTTAAGAACCTGGAAATACCTGCAGGAAGTAGTTTATTGAGAAGTGTTGCTGATTACAGTTCTTGTCTCAAAGTTATCATTGGCTAACAAATGAATCACACTGTCTGATAAATGCCATTTTTTCCTGTCAGCAGTTTCTGAAATTTCCTGGCTAATCTCTTCATTACATAAGCATCCAAATTCCCCAAGATATATGGTAAGGGAAGGAGAATATTGGTAGAGACTGGAATACTACTACTGGAACTAAACTCTGAGGTTTGGCTTTTTTAAATATTGCAGGGATTGCCAGGATTGAAATCTAACACTTTTTTTTTTAATAAATTTCATGCTATGCTTTGATTATACACCTATGTGCACACAGACATATGAATGCACATAAAAATACATGTTTTAAGTGTGCTAACCTATGTTTAACCTTAATAAAAATACTGACACACAAATGAGAGAAAATATAAACATACTTAGCTCAAGAAAATAAATACTTTCATAGAAACAACTGAAGTTACCAGTCTATCTTCTGAAGAACAAAAGTGACTTTCCTCTTATTTCAAGTTTAAAAATTCTTCAAATGTATCATCTTCCCATTTCAACAAGATGTACCTAATAACTGAACTCCCAAACCACTGCAGGAATGTGTGGGCTTTTTATACTCTTTATTTTTAAAATGTAAAACCAGACACCTGCTGCATAATCACTTGGTGCAACTGGATGACTTTCTTAACCGAGACTAGTGAAGTCCAGAACTTTCATGTCAAAGAGTTAGGTTCTATTTGCAGACTTTCATCAATTGGGAAGTATAATTGTTATATACTGACCTGAAAAGTGCAGCCATAACGCTTAAAACTACAGGTACTTGGGGCATTAATACATTCTGACAAATGTGCATTCAACTGCAATAGGAAAAAAATGTGAGTTTTGGCAAAAGACGTTTGCACGATAATGCTCAAAACATAAAGGGCACAGATTAGCAGGTTTGTATTGTGTGCCATTTGCAGAACATACAATACATGTGTGTATATTTTCTCCAGTCTGACCTAAAGTGCAAATACTATATATACACATATGTAAACCACACACGCACATGCCAATACAGTATACAGTGTGATACATTTAATATACAGTGAAACTTCTACTAAAGACCATTTCAATAGGCAACCCAATTAAAAAAAGCAAACAAAAAGAACACACTCTACAATTATTTATATGATTTCATTTGACTTTAGTGAATGACTGACTAATCATTTCTCAACAAATGATTTTTTTACTGGAGTTCTGAGCAAGTCTTAAGATCAGTTTCACTGTAGTAAATCACATTTTTTCTAATCCTAAATTCATGAAGAACCAATTTTTCAAAACAGAACATGCAATTCTCTGTGCCTAAATTTAACGGTTAAATTACACAAAAAAGACTAAACAAGTACTGCATGAAACAGACAAAGAGTTTTAGAATAGGTACAGTTAAGTAACTTTAAAAAAATGCAGTACGCAGGATTAAAACTGATTAGTAAAATGCCTGCATTTTTCACAGATTGAGATTTATTCCAGTATCTTGGATTATTATGAGCACAGACCACTTTTCATTTAAAAATAAACCAATTCACAGAAGCATATACGTATATACAGACAGCAGCCATTGCAGCACAGAGGGCAGCAGATGGATGCAAACTGCCTAAAAGTTGGAGCAAAGAGGTATTTTTGGAAAGGATAGTGCAACAAACACTCTCTCTTCAAAAACAGGATCTGCAGTTTGTATTTCCCACAAAGCAGACAGGAGCTAGAGTCTAGCTCCTCAGCTGGCATCACTCTCGGGTTTCAGAATCTCATCTGAAATGCACACACCGTAAGCCCCACAGGACTTGGCTATTCCACCTCCATGGAAAGAAGTGGTGAACCAATTCTGCTTTGAATGTGTCACTCTGGGAACAGACAGGACAGTCTTTAAAATCTGATACTGAGATGCAAGCAGTCACTCATCTCTGATATACACCTATTACGTTATAAACACTATCTGTAGAAATTCACGGTACGGTTTCAACAGACACATGGTTCAGAAAAAAAATAAGACCAAATAAGAGAGAGACATGTGGTATAACAGGCTTTTCAAGAATGCCGCATTTTCAGCTTCTCAAAACTAGAAGTCTGCCAAAGAGTTATGAATTAAACATGAAAAATTGCCTTTTATTCTACAATAAGGTATTTGCTTGTTGTACACCACAGAATTTTCTCAAACTGTTAGGCAGGCATTTTCCCATTTTCTGCATTAGAACCATTATCCCTAACCATGCAGCTAAGCAATATACACATTTTCACAGTATCAGAAAAAATTAAGCAACATACAGCAACAGATGATGCAGGGCAAGATGACTGTTTTAAAGTTCTGATTCTAGCAATGGTTTCAGAACCCAGTTCTGACTATATGTGTATGACCCAGGCTTTAATGGGTCAATTCTTATTAGCACTCAGATATACCTCTTCTCAAAGTAACTGCTGAAGTCAAGATTTCAGAATATGCTTAAATGCTCCAGAACCAGGATCTAAACTCAGAAGTAAGCACTGATGGAATTGAATCAGTACACATATTTTCTCTTTTCTTAGCAGCAAAATTTCTCTTACTAGGTACAGTATCTATCGCATATTTTATATTTCATTACCTGGGGGGAAAGACTGGCCCTGTGTTTGGCAGGTGCCTTATGTGCCTTATGCACTATGACATGATTAATAATTTACAAGTGTAACTGAAAAATAGTACAAATTCAACTTAGGAAGTAAGTATCAGTGAAAAGAGAAAAGCTTATCCTCAGACAAGAAACTTAACTTCCCTTATAGGAGGTTTACAGAGTGCAGAAGACTTAAATAGGCTCTTCCCCATCATTGGTAAGTACTATTTTTAGGAAAAAATAACGCACATCAACTTTGACAGATGCTACTTATATCTTTTAATGTACAAGAACATGGATTTGTTCAAATAAGACAGGTGGTTTGTTTGTTTTTTTTTTATCTTGGTCTATGTATTACTGCAAGCTTCTATACATTTAGAAAAATTTTTATGCATTGTTGCATCTGGCTTTTGGAATGTTGTACTCATATTACCCTGTACCTTACATTAACTCTTTAAGTGTCAGTTATTGTTTTTTTCCCCAAATTTAAACATATTTAATAATAATATAAGTTTTTCCATGGAACGATTCTACACATTTATATGATTTTTCTAGTCTTTACTAATTCTTGCCAATGTGCACAAAATTTAATTTTCTCTTTTTATTTTAATATAAGTAATATAATACCCCACGGTGCTGCTCTATTGTGCTCAACAAATGCTTCAAATAGCAGAAGGGCAGGGGGAGAGCTAGTAAAAATGAAAGCAGGAAGACGTGCTAATCTTGGGCAAGCCAAGTGTAATAAAGACACAAAGCTAAGAAATTATTTCTTTTTAAATAATTTTTCAAGAAATCATTAAAAATATTTAAGTGTTATCACACTGAACTGTGTGGTAGAAAAAGCTTTTCTTTAGATCTCACATTTTAATAAGGAAATGGCTTCTGGCAAAATTCTTGCGAGATCTTATTTAAAAAATTATTTAATTTTTTAGCACAACACTGGGCATCACTTCTTACCTCACTCCTCATGAGTGTTTTAACACTACATTTATGAGGACATGAAACCATCACACACGGGCAGTCTGTATCTTCATGTTTCTACAGAGGAAAAAGCAAACAAACCACAAATCAACTCTTAACTCAGAAATTGAAGGCTTACCTGCAAAAGAAAGCATTCTACATTAATTAAAAAACAAACCACCCACAAGATTTCTTTCAATGTTTATCCCGACTGTGCAGAACGTTACAGAACTGAAACTGTTCAAACATCAGTTTATGCTTTCAACAGATGTGTTGATATTCTGAAGAAAAAATAAGGATTTTCTTGTGTTTTCCCATGTAGAGTAGTAAATCTATTTGCTTCCCATTTTGTTGTTTTTACTTAGATCAATGAAACAATACTAAAAGTCAAGTTTTCTCCTCCAAGAATTACTCAGAAAAACAGGCATCTTTAAGACCGAGCAGAACCACTGCAGATGTCCTTTTTACTAAGGGTATAAAGTGCATGGAAAAGCACTTCAGAAATGTACACTACTCATTCTCACTATGTACGGATACTCTCCTTCTAATTCTTTTCTAATTTTGGTTCCCAAACATATGATACTAAGTCTCATTGCTATACACCCGAAGTTCAAAAAGATGTTGAAATTTTATCATGGTGCTGGGCAGGCATTTTGATATGAACCTAGATGATGGCAGATACTTCAGCATAGTACTAAACCATATCACCATAGGGAGGGAAGATAATCAGGCCCAAGCTAATTGAATTTACATTTCTTCTCAGTTCTTCTCAACAAAATGAAAAATCTAGGGAAAAAAAAAATTGTTTCATGTCATGCGACATGTCCCATTCAACTTGAAACAAACTGTTTCATTTCTGGTACTTAAGAAAAGCAAAGGAAAAAAAGGTCTAGATTTATAAGCCTGATAGAAAAGGAAGAATACACAGCATGCCCTTTCTGGCCAGTAATGATGTCTACCTTTTGAAACAAAAGCAAGACGTAAAGGAGACCCAAGCTCTGAGATGTGAAAGACCTTAGTTCAGAGCTCTGTCATAAATCCGCAAATATTTGAAAATGTGTACCTCACTTTTAAAAACACATCATTGGGTATGCTGTTCTGAAGCAAGTCTATCCTACCATCCTTCTTATTTGCACTAGTTCACTTGCTGTAGCACATGTAGACAGTTCACAACGACAGAGAGCAAGGAAGCCTAAGTTGCTCCTTAGCCAGAGAGCAGGAACAGCCTCCCAAAATGTGGGGATGAGGAGCTAGCTTCAGTCCCTCCCCACCAGGACATGGATACCCAACCAGGAGCAACGCCAACAGACTGACAACATCTCTCCCCAGAGTAACCTCTGGCAGGGTGACCGTGGTACTCTTCTGATAAGCAATGGCCCATAGGACCATTTCTGCTCACTCTCAAGAATCAGACCTGGCCTCTCTTCACTCTGAACACATCTCTAATTGGGTTGAAGAGAGACATCACGCACTCCCGCACAGTTTTGGGAGCTACTGCCCTACAAACTTCTTTATCAACTACAAAGCTAGAAAAATAATACGCCCTTCTAACATTCATTCCCTAATTTTAAGTCACTCTCTTCTCTAACCAACCCGAACTACCTGGCAAAGATTATGACATTGACTCTCAGTTCATGATAAAAAGGCAACATGCAACTTCTCAGCCCTCTCTCCAGTTCTATTCCTGACCCCGCATCCCGGGGCCCATCCCCTGAAACCAAAGGGAGTCTTTCCAATGACTTCAGGATGTACCAGCCTAATCCCATTCCAGCGGCAGAATCCTCTCCCTACTAACCAGCTAAATTCACACAGTCGAGCACACAAAACCCAAAGCCAAATGCAGCCTCAAACGTGGGTGAACACCACATGCAGGGCACCTGGCACAGATGAGGGGAAGGCAGGGTATTAATATTGGCTACCCAAAGAAGCCAGTCTTACACTGGGAACACGTCTGGTTCCAGAGCAGCAACAAGGGAGCAAGATGACAGTGTCTCATGTCCCCCAGTGGCTGTCCCAGTCAGCTCAGCAGCATTTCAGACTACTGAGCAGAGTCCAGATTCCCTTGGCAGGGTCTGCCTGGGACAGCCTTTCTGTGGCCAAGGTGGCAGTGAAGAGCTAGGCACTAAGTAATGCTGTCCATCCAGATCCGTATCATACTAGTACTGCTCAGTATCAATTTTATAGGAGAAGCACTTCCAAGTAGTTTTGTGGATTATCCACAGAAAAATGTAATAATTCAGAAGCATTTCAGGCTACTAATTTCTGTTTTAACAATGCCACATCTTTATCTGCTAGAAATTACAGAATGAAAAAGGCACCTTTGTGACCAAAAACCCTCAACTTTTTAGATGGTTTAAACAAAAGAAAATAAGTTTAAGAATTTAAATGATCTAGTGATAATGCAGGCAAGACAAATGCAATCTAAAAAAAATGTGTACTATTAACTAAAGAATCCGCCTCCAACAACGGGGATTTCCTACCCCACGGGTCATGGGATTCTATGAAGACATGAACCATACGTACTCCGGTAAAATTATTTTCGTTTCCATTTGCATACCTTTTTTCTTGGTACGCTCCCTCTACCTCCATTTTCAGTTCAAGTCACTGAGGCCTGCTTCGGTCATTATTACATTAGAGAAAATTTTAGGCTACAGAAGCTAGAGATGAACTCAAGCTCTGGGTGACAAAATTCAAATGAGAAGTCCAAAGAAGCCTTTCATTCAAACATATAGTCTCATTAAGCTTCTGATTCTCATTACCAAAGTACAATGAGGCAACATTTGATCAGGCCACAACAAATAAAACCATCTGCATTTCTATAATCACTGAACTTTTAAAAATCTAGGCAAAAAAAAAAAAAATTAAAAATAGCAGCCAATTGCTAAAGTTCTAATTGTGGAGCTTTCTGCACCCTTAAAGCAGCATGGAAGCAAAACTGCCCTTTTTCTACATACTGAAACATTTAAGCCAATGATAACATGGGAACATGTAAATCAAAACATTTCCAAGGAGTGTTACAAATGCAGATTTGTTTAGAACTTTTAAGGGCAGGTAAACAGTGGTACCAACTTTAACACAATCAAAATAGTGACATCTCAACACAAAACGTTGTATATTTTAAACAAACCCCTTTGGCTCCCTAGGTAAGCCAATTCTATTACCTCTTAAAGCAACTCAGAATTCCACCACATAAGATTTTGGAGAACATTTATTTACACACACTCTTTTCTGTGCTTCAGAGTAACATGTCATTCTTGTTTCCAACACGTACATCTAAAATAGGTTTCGCTGTGAATTAAAAATCTGCTAGACTAAAACTTAGCTTCTGAGTATCTTGAAAGCCACCACTAGTTCAAAGATTTCATAAATGTTAAATCCACCAACATCTGATAAAAGACAGAGCTCTTAAACTAAAACAGAGTTCCATGTTCCTCAAAACATAAGGATGATACCAGACTCTCAAAAATTTAACTACATTCTCCTATTAAAAAAGCTGTCTACAAGGAACCTGTGAGCATGCTGTTTAGATATGGAAATCCAGTTTGTACAACAAGACATATTTAATACTCACTGATTTTGTCTGTTAAGACACTACACATTTTTTTAATATTGCTCCTTGCCTCACATAGTTCCCAGCCTAAAGGAAATTCTGGAAGAACAGCATCCATAATCTAACTACATCCAGTTTCACCTCTGTATCAGAATGTGCAAGAATAAATACAGTGTAAACTTAATTTTCTCTGTGTATTTTCACGTCTCGGCCACTGTACGCTAGACAATGCACAGTTAGTAAAGTACCAGCCCTTGCAAGTATACACTCAAATAGCTGAAAGCCAGATCTAAGTCAGAACTTGGTGAGACTCTACCTATGCCTTTTTGTAATGACATCTCTGAGAAAAGAATGCTTCTCATCATTGTGAGACTTCACCTGACAAGCAGTACACAAGAACACAAATGAAAATTAAGTTCTCATGACTCTTACTATACTAAGAAGCTCTGAAATCCAAGACTGTCAACTATGGAAACCATGTAAACAGAATTTTAAAAAAGAGTTAAAATTACAGCAAGAAAGATTCAGCATAATACAGTTCAGTGCAAAATAATGCAAACACAGTCAAGTTATAATTCTGCATGGAAAGTTAAGTATGACTTTCTCAACCTCTGCTGCATACTCCTAACTCACAACATGCTGCTTATCAGACAACCTACTTCTATGCCAAGAAGAGCAGCCTGCCTAGGCCTAGCATGTACCATTGCTGGTCATGCTAAGACACAATTTGTTTTTACGTTGTTTCCTCCTTTCCTCTCCTAACAGATGACAGTACCCAAAAAAGGATTAGATAGAAAGATGCTATTTCTCCAGCCAATTGCTATGCTTATGCTTCCCCTGCACAACATTTAATTGTTATGATGGTAGTTGCATATATTATATCAATTTAAGCAAAATGAAAAAGCACAGCAAAAATTACTGTGGTATCAATATTATGCAGCAGGTTTGAATTTTTTTAAAATGCAGTATCTGAACATCAGAAAAAAGAAAATGTTTCCCAGTCAATGCAGTGGTTTCACAGGAAAAAATTGTCTTTTGAAAGTCAGTCTATTTTCTTTTTTGACTTACTAATTCTGGCTGAGGGCAAGGCTCTATTGTCAGCTCACAGAAGCACAAGAAGAGTTATTACTCCGCATTAATGCATGGAATCTTTTTCTATATACACAAGAAAATACTGCACCTGCAACATAATCATTGGGACTTGGCTTTTACAGTATTTACAGGTTGTCTCCCGGTATTTACAGGTCTTCTCTACATGGTCTGGCAAATCTTTTCTCAGTATTTTTTCTTTGCAATCAGCATGAGGACATGAAAGTTCTTCAAACTGACAATCAGTTTTCAAATGCATCTGAAAGATTAAAAAAAAAAAAAAAGTCAAGCCAACTAAGTTTTATGCATGCCTTCTATCCTTTGAAGACATCCCACATTAAATAACTTCAGAACCAAAGTAAACAAGGTTATTTTGCACACTATATTGTGCAAGGGCAAACACTAACAAATCTACTCAAGAATACATTTCTGACTCTACATTCCCTTCACCTAGACAGCAGATTTCACTGGTTTATAGATGTATGTGAGCTACTTTTACACTAAAAGCATTCTAACAGGGTCCAAAATTACACACAGGCTATTTAAACAAAAGGTAAGCACTCTTTTTCAGGGTATGTTACTCCACAGAAACACAGATGCTGCTTTAAGTTGTTGAAGTACCTGAGCTTGCTCATTCAAAGCAAGTACCTACAGATCTCACTGCAGACTGCTATGTAGCCATACCTTCCAACTGTTAAATTACTGGATTACTTCTATGTTATGCTTTCATGAAACAAAGCTACAATTTATTTTGTACAAGTCTGGAGAAGCCAAAGGTTTAACTCCATGCATAAACCACCAATTACATGAGCAGATTAAAACTGCTAAATAAAAATAAAAACCCACCAAAAAGGAATTCAAATGTCTCACGTTTGTAAAGCACACATTAAGATTTTTCCTGATTTTAGTTCTTCCTCCAGTTCTCACTTGCTTCATGCATTTACATTTCTGAGCTTTGGTGTCACACAATCACATGATTTTTACTACAATTCCTTGTAACTCATCAAAAAGCTGAGCTTCAAAGCAGTTTACCTCTATTCTGAAATTTATAAATCAGATTAACCACTAGTGTGAGCATGTCAAGAAATGGACAGGGTTTTTAATTTGCAAGACTTCTCATTCTTTAACTCAAAAGGAAGTTTATCAATATGTTAGATTACTTACCAGTAATTGACCCAAAGATAGCTGTTCTTTACAGCCCTTGTTTTCGTTTCTGCAGTATATTTGAAGGGCCAGTAGTTCTCTCCTGCAACAATTGTCTTTAAATACCTGAAAAATAAAAACTCACTTCATTTTAGAAATTTAAAACCACTCAAGAATATGCAAGTTCAAATAACATAGAAGCCATGCAATCTGGCTACAGCAGTGTCGTTTAATTCTAGATTTATGCACCAGAAATAAAATCCTGCCATTCAATGTTTCTCGAATGTGCACATTGCTGAGACTTCTCTACTATGAAGCAGGCCAGTGAAAGAATATTTGGACAGATGCTCTACTACTGTTTCACTCTTACTATAAATACAATAAAGGGAACAGTACAAGAAAGGACTAAATTTTTTGCTATTTGCTTGCCAATAATAGGCCTGCGTAAGTTAGAAATCTCTACATTGTTTGGAAAGTTAGTCTATTAGGCAGGATACCATAAGACAAAAAAGAGCCAAAGCACAGTGGTTCAGAGAGGAAGGATTTCATGGAAGGCAGTCCTACAATGACTAGACTGGTTAGTTGGAATACCTACTTGCACATCAGTGGTAACACATAATTAAAGACATTTCCTAAGGTCTTAGGCTGGAGGAGGTTTATTATTACACAGATAATCAGGCTGTAACTGTCTGTCCATTTTAATGTTTCTAAGTCTTTCCAGCATATTGTGTGCGTTATAGAACTGCAAGAGATAGAGACCAGAGGGTTTGGGCTTTTCACCTTTTATGGGTGATATCGCATAAAAGATAAACTTCTAGTTATTTTGCAATTGCTTTCATGACCATTAAGAAATACCAAAGAACCAAGCCCAACCGATGACTACTTCTTTGACAAATGGAGTTCTGTGACACTGCGTACACTGCAGGGTTACTGTAATTACAGAACCGTTCTGCATGCTAACATTTAACAACAAAGAATTATGACCACATCTGTCCACAGTGACTATGAATTTATTCCCAGTGTCAGTGAGGAAAGAAATGCTGCAACCATTCTCATTCAATCTCATCTGACACAGGTCACTGATTTCTGTTTACTTTTCATATATGAGGTTTAATGAATCAACAAATCTCATTTGAATAATCAATTGCCAGTACTGTAGTGTTTTTATTGCAAAGTAATTCACAGTAAGGCACAGTTTTTCTGACTGAAGTTAAGGTAAGAAGACACTTTTTAAGCAGTTTTTCCAAGACTGTCTAAGAGCTCTTCAGTGATTTTGGGAATCAGCATCTCATAGGAAGAGTATGGTTTCCAGTTTCATGAAAATCACCGACTTGTATAGGTAGTCCAACATGTATTTAATATATGCTGCCCTTCTTGTCCTCCTCCTGTTTTAGAGATATTTGAAATTTCCTAAGAAATGTACATATTTATGTATATTGGGAGCTAGAAAGTCAAGAGTTAAAATGGAAAGTAAAGTAGGCACCATGATTATTGGTCTGAGCTCCTGGAGAGCCCATTCATGTCAAAACTGAATTATGCTGAGCACTGTTCAAAGAACTATTTTGTGTTAAGACAAGGAGAGGTTAATGTACCCACTAACCTTTTCTTGAAAGTAGTAACTATTACAAGTATTTATTTAGGCAGGAAAGACTACTAACACAAAGAATTTACTAAACACTTCAGAAAAATCTAACGTAAAAACTGCATAAACCAGGTACTGAGTCAAAAATAATTTTTTCTCAACCTTTCGAAGGCAACACAAAGTTTTGCTGTGAAAAACAATGAAGAGGGTACCAGTGAAATAACTTATCCATACAAAAAGAATCTGATTCTACTGCAGTTACTGTAACTCCACACTGTTCTGGTTCCACTGTGGTTCACAGAACACCACGCTGTGAATACAGATTAGTGAAACAGTAGACACTGGTCTGGAGCCAAATCAGCAGTAAGGTTTGCATAGATCTGTCACATCTTTGCACCCGCAGGAGATGCAATACTTCTTATCACCCTCCCAGTTGATGGAAGAACAACTGCAATGTGTTGCTGCAGTTCCCAACTATGAAAACAAGATGTGACACCTGGCTGGACCAATTAGGGATGAAGCTGACATGTTTTCTACCATGTGGTTAACAGTAAAAAATGAGCTGTCTTCCTATATAAAATACGTGGTTTAGGTTTTATAACAACACTATCTTTCTCAGGTACCTTATTAGGCTTATGAAATAACTACCACAAAGCAGTAACACATCTTATGTATGACACACCATTCAATGCTCTTGAATAAGAAACAATTTTAACAATACCTTATCTTTTACTATGCTTTCTTGACACGCTGTACATTTGGGACTAGAAGAACTGGAGAGAAAAGAGAGCAGAAAAACTATTTTAACTCATTTGAATTTTTACAGTACAAAAAAATTTCCATTTATGAGGCACTTAGTTATGATTATCCAATATATTTAAAAACATTAGAAGTGGATACAGTTCATTATAATCAGATAACATGATGTTATTTCAAGAAATTTGAATACTCAGTTTTCAGTGGACAGTATCTGGCATTCCCAAAGAAGTAAGACCACCGCAATACCTCTAGGCAACTGCACAGTGGTTTTCTTCAAGGTGGCAAAATTCATTCCCTATTTTACAGTGTGACCTAATCCACAATTTTTGTCCCTTCTCAATCTATCTGTGCAAACAGCCAAAATATTGTCTCTTCAACTATCCTGTCCTTTTTCAAACAACACCTAATTAAATTTTCTCTGACAGTCAACTATACATCCTTTTAGGGTAAAAAATGTATATGTGTCCATCTCCTTCAAGTCTGTTCTGGTTCTAGAAACTGTTACAGATCCTTTCTCCCTCCTTTATCTGACCTATTGCCCTATAGCTGTTTTGGTAATCTAATTGCCAAACTTGTGATTTCTTAGACAACAGGTAGGTTGAGGAGTAGTGTGTGGAGGGCAGTGTGTGAACAGAAACTGAACTGGAGTGTAGGAAACCTGTGTTCCTACAGCAGCTTCTGGGTCTGACCTGCTAGCTGTGGTAGTGTAACTCCCTTCATTCCTTTTTAGCGCCTTTTCTCCATGTAAAATGGGGATAGTCATATGACCTCCCTTGTAAAGCACTGAGATCTATGGATGAAAAGCACTAGATAAAAGCTAGGTAAATTCTTTTGTAAAGCAGTTCATTGACAGGCTACGTAAATTGTGGCTGCTAGCAGCAGTGCAAATCAATGTAAAAGGCTGACTAAGTTCAATTATGTTATACAATCAGTATGGTTATTTCAAGTCATCTCACTGGCTTCTGCTCCTTGAACTGACCATTCTGCGTCTCGTTTTATTACTGAGCACTTTAACTACCTTGCAGCTTCAGTATCTGCAATATTTTTAAGTTAAAAAAAAAATCTAAAACTAATCTACTTGAGGGCATATAGTGTTTAATACAATGTCATGCTTCCCTTGCTTTTACTGAATTCACTCAAGCATCCCACTTGCTCTTTTAAACTACTGCTGCATACTGAGCAGATATCTTTACTGTGTTATCTACACTGACTTTCAATTCTTTATCCTCAAATAACCCTGGGACAGAACCTGCTAGCATGTAATGAGTGTGTCCAGCAGCATATCAACGTGGAGTGAAAAATTTTTGTGCCAAATACAGAAACAATGTAAACTTATTCTCCTTCCAGTTTTATGGCACACTTTTTTGCTCAAAAAAAAGGAGCTATAAATTTAATTTTAATAAAGGATTTGTTTGCAACAAGCACTTAAATATAGTGAAATAACTCAAATGAAAGAGCAGTGTGGTAGATGGTCTTACCCATGTGTCCTTTTCAGTAACAGACTGTTTGGAAAGTCAGGAAGGTAAAATTACACATATTCTACCTGCACTGCAATAAGCACATGTGCATATCTCACAGCAGGGAAGGAAAAATGCCCTGATTCCAGCAACGCCAGAATTGTTACTGCTTAGATTGTTAAGGATCTGCTCTGTCCATCTGCACACATCCAAGCATGGCAGGTGTTTGCTTTTCTGCCGTCACTGTTATTAACCATGTAAGAGACTTCCGAAAACATATTTTCAGAAAGAAATAACTGCATTTCTTAAAAATAAACTACACCTCACCTGAAAATGTGTATTGAAAGAAATGCTGGTGGGGTTTTTTTGTTGTTACTTTAAATCTAACATGCTGTAGCACAAAACCTACAGGAGTGGATTAGTGAGCTATGGACCTTTGTATTTGCCCAGTACGGAAGTTACTCTTTATCATGAGACGAGTAATGTAATATCCTCCAGCCTCTTTTGCCATGCTGCACGTAGTCTTGACTTACATCTACCTGAGATTACAGTATTTCCAAGTGAAATATAAGCTAATACCTAGAGTCAGGGTGGTCACACAAAGCAAACAGACCTTCCAAAGTGAAATCCTCTCTCTGTTAGTAGTCCAGTGTGCAACATCCAGTGAGCTCTTTCTGTTCTGTACCTCTGCTCTCCCAGTAGCAAATGGAAGTACTGACTGCTTATTTACCCCAGGAGATTAAAGCTTGGAGAATGGTGTCCAAACATTAGACCAAGTTTTGAAATCACACTGCTGAACACAATCAGTAGCAATGCATCAAAGTTGAGAGGCAAAGAAATATACTTCTACTGAGGCACAGGTAAGTCTTAAATGCTAGCTACTCCTTGAACGAACACACTTTTATTCTTACCTAGACTGGGAAAGATTGCATCTCTCAGCATTCATTTTATGTCTATAACATTCACTCACCCACTTTGCACTCTGACCCAAACATTTCGGTAATAGAGAAGCCAGCCTTCCTGACTCTATTGTAATCCACAAAACATAAAGCCCCAGGGCACACAGATAGATGGGTTACGAGGAAAGGAAGCCCCACAAGCAGTGACATTTATCCAAGGGTCGCACGACTCAACTGTAAGGCTGGGTCCACAGCTAGGTTAGGTCCTATCACTCTAATGAGCCTCTGCAGGCTCACTGCCTCACACAGCCATGATTTACCGAGTGTATTTTACACCAAAATAGCCATGTTAGCAGTCACATGAAATAGCTACTCAGTCTAGGCTCCAAAGGCAATGAAAGTCCTGCCTAATACGTCACTACATGGGATTAAACCACTTTAACAACCATTTCAACAATATTGATGGAAAGCTCAGTTGTCTCATCCTGACACAGAGTAGAACACAACTGTTTGCAACAGCATATGTATAACAAATAATCAAGCAAGCAACAAGCAGAAGGCTGCTTTGAGCCAGGGTATTAGCTGAAGGTATTCCTAAAACTACAATAGCGTCCACACTATTTTTCAGCAGTTCACAAGATCTAAAGGTATCAACATGTTCTACCACAACAAAAAATGTACCTTAGCAAGGCATTCATGCAGGTCTCACAGAATCTGTGTCCACATTCAGTCTGTTTAGGATTGCATAAGATGAGGTGACATTTTTCACATTTATACTTATCTTCCACGGCATTTACAAATTTCTCTTTGTAGCCACCTTGCTCTGGAACATAAATCGATGCTGAAGGACTGCGATCAGGATTGGCCCTTTGTTGTACCATTTCTACAGATAAAGGGGGTTCTGTCTTCTTACTGGTGTCCATGCTCTAAGGTAGTTTCTGTGAAGCAAAAATGAGAAAACCTCTGAGAAATCAAGACCTCTTTTTCCATTTAAATAAAAAAAAATACAGCATCTCTGAAAGACTATGTAAAACCAGAAAGCACTAAGAACAGATGCGTGTCCACACATCATATGAACATAATACGTACATAACTGTAAGTATATTAAGTGTAGCATATCTGTAAGATACATTTTTCAAAGGCCAAGAAGGTCAAGAATTAACCTGAAAGCAAGTATTAGTTAATTGTGGGCATCACTCTAGGAACAAATAAGAACAGAGCTTGCATTATTCCTTATCTTCCATCTCTCTGAGAAACATCCTTAATATTGAAATTGTATCATTAGAGGAAGCAGCAAAGCATGTGGTGGAGAAGGTGCACTGGTACTCAGATGCCACCATAAAAAGCACACAGCCAGCAGTGTCCTACACAGGGTACCTGGAGTATACGCAGCTCCACTGCCAACTTCTCATGTCTACGCCATGCGATAGCGAAGTGTAACACACACTGCTTTAACTCTATTTGTATTGGGTTTGCGTGGCACAGTTTTGGTAGCAGGCGGGGTGCAGGGGTGGCTTCTGTGAGAAGCTGCTAGAAGCTTTCCCCGTGTCTGACAAAGCCAGTGCCAGCAGCTCCAAGATGGACCCACTGCTGGCCAAGGCCAAGCCCATCAGTGACAGTGGCAGCGCCTCTGGGATAACAGAGTTAAGAAGGGGGAAAAACATCGGCACGCAGCATTGGCAGCCGGAGAGAGGAGCAAGATTATGTGAGGAACAG